CCACATCTCAGTGGCATTGTTGAGCAACCATTTAATCACTGGCTTATTTATTAGCAATATTAAGAGTGATTCAAAACGGTTATTAATTATCATCACTAATATTAAAATTAGTAGTTAAGGGGAACCACCTCTCCAACAACAAAAGAGAAAGTTTGAAGAGTAGCAGGCACCTGACGATGTCCTGCAGCCTGGCCTCTACCCCGACAATGAAAATAAGGCATTCTGAAGCGTGAAAGAAGAGAATTCTGAAAGATCTGTGAAACCCTGTCCTGATGCTTCAATGGCTGCCAGTCAACTTCAGGGTTCATTTCAAGATCCTGGTTCTCATCTCTAGGGCTTTTTGGACAAGCATCATCATACATTGGTGATCTTCTCAGTCCCTACACCCCCAGCAGGTCCCTGAGGTCCAGTGACCAAAGCCTACTGGTTGTGCAGCACCAGGCTAAAGACCAAAGGTGATAGATCACTGCTGCTGTGGCCCCCAGACTCTGGACCTCTCTCCCTGAGCCTGAGATCAATGGACTCCATGGTCTCCCTTAAACGTGTGGTTCACTGAAAACCCATATTTTAATGATTATGTCTGATTATAATTGTGATTCTAAGTGTTTCATGCAGGCTGAACATGAAAATAGTCTCCTACACCTATCTCCTGCATTAGCTTCTGATAGAAAATGGGCGGTGAAACTCTAGATGTCGGTCACACTGTCACTTAACATTTGTAGACTCTGTCAAGCTTATCAAGTTTGCAGTCGACACCACCGTCATGACTCTTCTCAGACGAGGATGAGACTGCCTACAGAATGGCGGTGGAACAGCTGGTGTCCTGGTGCAGCCACAACAACCTGGTGCTAAACACCCAGAAGACAGCGGAGGTTGTTGTGGACTTTAGGAAGCACAAAGCCCCACTCCATCCCATAACCATGTCTGACACAAACATCACAATGGTGGACTTGTGTCACTTCCTAGGCACAACTATCACCCAGGACCTCAAGTGGGAGCCTACCATCACGTCAATCATAAAAAAGGCCCAGCAAAGGATGAACATCCTGAGGCAGCTGTAGAAATTCAACCTACCAGCACAGTCAATGAGGCAGTTCTACACCGCAATCATCGAGTCCATCCTCACCTCTTCAGTCACCATGTGGTATGCTGAAGCCACCATCAGGTACATGAAAAGACTGCAGTGTGTGGTGTGCTCTGCTGAGAAGGTCATTGGCTGCAAAATTCTCTCCATACAGGACCTGTACACCTCCAGGACACTGAGGTGCAGGTTGGATCACAGCAGACCTATCTCACCCTGGGCACAGTCTCTTCGACTTGCTCCCATCTGGCAGGAGGTTCAGATCCATTCTGACCAGAAAACAGTTGCTTCCCCTCTATGGTTGGACTCATGAGTGACAATCGTAGAACTGCCCACCCCTGCTTTGTTTCAGTCAGATGACCCTGTGCTGTGTTTGCACCTGAACTGACCCGCTCTGAACAGTTACCTACACTGACTTATATAAAGTAGCATCAGGGGTGTCCAATCCTGGTCCTGGAGGGCCGGTGTCCTGCATGTTTTAGTTTGAACTCTGTTTCATCACACCTGATTTCAATCAGCAGCTAATTGACAGGCTTCTGCAGAGCCTGATGAGCTGCTGCACAAGTGTTTCAACCACTGAATCAAGTCTGTTGGAGTAGAAAAACCACAAAACCTGCTGGATACCGGCCCTCCAGGACCAGGATTGGACACCCCTGAAGTAGCTGCTTCACTAATTATTGTCTCTCTATATTAATAACATTTGTGTTTATTTCTTAATTCAAACTTTGCTTATCTTTTTTATTTTTTTGCACCAAGTACCGCAGCAACTTCCTAATGTTGTGATTCTCGCACATATGGCAATAAAACCCTTCTGATTCTGATGGACTCACCCACCTCAACTCACAAATGGGAAGGCTGTTGATGGTTTAACATCCAGAAAACAGCACAGAATGTAAACTCTGACCAGTAGCAACTCCAAAACATGGCAAAATTCCTCCAGGCTTGTGGTTTTTGTAGAGATGAACCATCCACATTGCAAGTCAGTGGTAGAGTTATGTTGCTGCTACCCAATCCGAGGCAAGATGTCCAAATATCAGGAAATTAAGACTCCAAATCTGAAGCTCAGTTCTGATGCATCATCTGTTTAACTGACATACAGTATTAGTAGTTCTGTGGGACAATTACTGTTTTCTTTATTTATTAATGAAATGTCGTACGTAATGAAAAGGTGCTGGATTACACTATATGCAGATGATGCTACAGTGCATTGGGCAGCAAGGACGATATCAAATGATTTACTTAATGTAGTTTTAGATGGACTGGAAATTTAACAGGTGCATGATTTCAAGCTACTTGGCATCCTAGTGGAAAAGAAGCTGTCCTGGGGGAATCTGAAGAAAATGGGCAGAAGTATTGCGTGTATAAGGAGATGTAGTTCATTTTTAACCCCATCTTACGGAGTTCTTGTGGTAAACTCTTTGGTGCCGTCCCACTCTGACTGCTGTTCAGTGGTGTGGTCGGGAACAGTAAAAAACCTCTGACTACACTTCAGACAGTGTAAAACTGTGGAAAGTCTTTTGCGTTTTGCATCTGCTCAGCAGCACAGAAATCCACTGGCATTAGCATGTGTACACCTGAAGTGCGTTCAAAGACAGCTCGGAGAAATGAGTTTCCCTGCAATATCAGCCTTTACACTCACCTAAAGGATTATTAGGAACACCACACTAATATGGTGTTTGACCCCTTTTGGCCTTCAGAACTGCCTTCATTCTACATGGCATTGATCCAACAAGGTGCTGAAAGAGTTCTTTAGACATGCTGGCCCATATTGATAGGATAGCATCTTGCAGCTGATGGACACTTATGGGATGAACATCTAGGGCACAAAGCTCCCGTTTCACCACATCCCAAAGATGCTCTATCGAGTTGAGATCTGGTGACTGTGGGGGCCGTTGTGGTACAGAGAACTCGTCGTCATGTTCAAGAAACCAGTTTCAAATGATCGGGGCTTTATGACATGGTGCATTATCCTGCTGGAAGTAGCCATCAGAGGATGGGTACATGGTGGTCATGAAGGGATGGACATGGTCAGAAACAATGCTCAGGTAGCCCGTGGCATTTAAACCATGCCCAATTGGCATTAAGGGGCCTAAAGTGTGCCAAGAAAATATCCCCACACCATGACACCACCACCACCAGCCTGCACAGTGGTAACAAGACATGATGGATCCATGTTCTCATTTTGTTTACGCCAAATTCTGACTCTACCATTTGAATGTCTCAACAGAAATGGAGAGTCATCAGACCACGCAACATTTTACCAGTCTTGAACTGTCCACTTTTGGTGAGCTGGTGCAAGCTGTAGCCTCTTTTTCCTGTTTGTAGTGGAGGTGAGTGGTACCCGGTGGGGTCTTCTGCTCTTGTAGCCCATCCGCCTCAAGGTTGTGCGTGTTGTGGCTTCACAAATGCTTTGCTGTATTCCTCGGTTGTAACGAGTGGTTCTTTCAGTCAAAGCTGCTCTTCTATCAGCTTGAATCAGTCGGCCCATTCTCCTCTGACCTCTAGCATCAACAAGGCATTTTCACCCACAGGACTGCCGCATACTGGATGTTTTTCCCCTTTCACACCATTCTTTGTAAACCCTAGCAATGGTTATGGGTGACCGGCCCGTCTGGCTCCAACAACCATGCCACGCTCAACATTACTTAAATCGCCTTTCTTTCCCATTCTGACATTCAATTTGGAGTTCAGGAGATGGTCTCGACCAGGACCACACCCCTAAAGGCACTGAAGCAACTGCCATGTGATTGGTTGATTAGATAATTGCATTAAGGAGAAGTTGAGGTGTTCCTAAAAATCCTTTAGGTGGGTGTATGGCTGAAAAAAAGGGCGGGGGACATGTCCCACATGTACCCTGTGTCAGTTACGCCCATGGTGGTGGGAAAACTAAAAGAAGGTTGTTAATAACAACAATAATTTGTCATCCTTGTCAGTCTTTTAGTATCACTCTGGTTTAACTGGTATGAATATATTTTTAGCAACCTGGTTTTTCAGTTTTTAAGAAGCTGATCAGATATCTGCAGGCTTGCTGTAAACATTAACCATGAACAAAAGAAACCACAAAGGGCAAATCTCATGACTGATCCAGAAGGAACACATTAAAGAGCAAGTCACCCCCAAATCAACTTTTTTTTCTGATAAACTATACAAAAATGTGTGTCTAATCGTGCTGCAGACACGTGTAGTTAATAGTTTTGTACTTGAGTGCATTTTAGTTAAAATTGTTATTTTCTGCCTAAAACTGGCAGTGTTGTGCCGTTGTCAGGGGAAAACTCTGCACTGCATTAGAATTTAAATCTGCCACCGCTATTGGCTAAGAGGTATGCTATGATGTCAACTGGTCCTTATGATGTCACAATGCCATTGTGAGCCTGTGTGTGTGTATTTGTTAGCGGCTCCGCCCTCTCGGTCTGCTAGGCAGCAGCATTTGTTGCATTTTTCAAACATGAAGAGGGAGTGAAGTAAGTTTCTTGTAGGGGGTGACTTGCTCTTTAAAGTATCCAATTGTTCTCTGTTTGAAATAAGATGTCTGGGATGCCACCTGTATAAATCAGCCCTTCTAGGCAGTGGAGTCCACCTGTGATAGAAGCTGTTTATTGACTGAGAAGTGGTGTTTGTCAGGAATAACTCACAAAAGCACCATTAGCTCTGAGCAAATCTGATTCTCCTAAGCGGCTCCAAAAGACAGAGAGAGGTCACATTTCTCAGCTCTGATCATGACCCGAGTGTCAGGTCAGACGCTCTGACTGCAGAGGTTTTACGGCACTAGCATGTGAGCATCGTATCTGGTGTGTTGTGAGGGAGTCCTACTACCAGGCGGGGTTCACAAAGCAAAAGGAAAGTGTGTCTGGCTGCTGTGATGCATCATATCTCAGGAATCTGTCTGACAGTCCAGACGTTGTGGCACATTAAACTTTACCGTTGTGTTCGTCCAGCTCATTGCCAATATCTTGGCCCATTATCTTCTGTCGGCTGATGACAGCTGCGAGCGCATCCAGGCCTGCATCCTGGGCTGCGACCAGGAGGGAAAGAAAACAAAATGAGTAGAAACTTGGAAAATGAGACGCAGAGGGAGAGAGGCATAAATGTGCATGAATAAATATGTTTCACGTCAAACACTAAACATCAGGTGGTCAAAACGACAACAGTGAAGGCAATGGACGAGTTCTACAACGACGTTTTTATAATTGGAAACTGATGTTTAGTTGCTTTCAGAAGACACGCCATGCCAGAGAATCAGTGTAACCCGGTTTTACACTGCAAGCATCAGCGGAACGGAGCGGCACCGCTTCAAATGGAATCCAATTATAGTCTATGGAGTGTTTCAAACCAGCCGCGACGCGGCAATTTCCAGGCGCGTCCCAGAAGCGGCATGCCGCGCCACGCCGCTAAAGATAGGATTGAGTTTATCTTGTTCTGCAGTTCACATAGTGCAAACAGGAAATGACACGGGTTCATTGTAAAATCCCCATTTTCAAAATAAAATGCAACGCTGCGATGTTACCTGTAACTTACGTCAGCACGTGTGACCGAACGGCTTTGTTTACCACCAGTTTCTTTCGAGAAGTGCAACGGTGTGATCCATCCATCCATAACCTAGCTCCACCGTACCTCTCAGACCTCCTTCATCCTTCAACCTCCACCCGTTCCCTCAGGTCCTCCTCCTCCATCCACCTCTCAGTCCCACCTTTCCGTTTGGTCACTATGGGGAGCAGGGCCTTCAGCCGCTCTGCTCCCCAGCTCTGGAACTCACTCCCTCCTGACCACCGTAACATTGATTCCCTCACTCTCTTTAAAACCAGACTCAAAACTCACCTGTTCCGTCTAGCATTCCAATAGTTACTCTCGTTGCTCCAATCTGTCTGTTTGTTTTATGCTGTTTTATCTTTTATTGTTGTGTATTTTATCTTTGTAAAGTGTCCTTGAGTGTTCAGAAAGGCGCTGTTGAAATAAAATGTATTATTATTATTATTATTCCTCGCGGGGGTTGTGACCTCTCGATGAGGAAGGTGTTGGAAGTCTCGAGGGATTTTAGAATCTCGCGGGTACAGCGAGGCGCAGCGAGGAAGCCGTGCCGCGGCCAAGACTCTCCCGGTGTGAAAAGGACCACTTTGAAGTTTGCGAGTGAGCCGCTCCGCTGCGGTTCAGTTCCGCTGATGCCTGCAGTGTGAACCCGGGGTAATACTGCCGCCACGGAGTGTCTTATGAATGCGCCGTGGCGGCATGGCAATACGGGAATTTTGCAGGTATCGTGCTACCGAGCACCATCCCGCCACCATCTTGTAATTTCTTGTGAAAAGCACATGATGGCGCCACATTTCCGCCGCAGTCCGACCACTCATGAACAATCTAAGACTCGCTGATGCCGCCTCAGCTTTGCGTCAAATTGGCAGCATGGATTTCTGAAAGAGGCTTATGTAGCATATGAAGCTGACCCCATTTTTTTAAGCTGACAAACGTTCTTTTTGGTTTTAAAAGCCTCTACTCTCTCTTGTTTAATTACCTTGAATGATTCTCTGATGCTGCTGTTTAATCTCTCCAAAGGTCAGCCCTTTGGTCTCCTCCGACTCGTTGACGAGCCAGGGGTTAGCACTTCCTCCGCTGGCTGCGGTTCCTCCACTCATCAGCGTGGACCTGTAGGTCACGAACAAGAACAAGATCCTCTCTACCTCCAGACTCAAACGAGGCAGACCACAACCACTCTTAAGCCACCAGATGGGTCTTGTTTGGTTACACAGATCCTTTTAACTTTTAGGGTTTTTTGAGTTTAAAACAATCTAGTTCCACCAAAGACATAATTTACTAAAGGTTTAACAGGATCTACCCTTTTACCAAAAGGGATAAGGTCAGTCAGATCACATAATGTTGACAAGAATAAAATAAAATGTGTAAAAATCTAATCAGGGTTTCTGCAGGTTTAAGGGAGCCAAATTTAAGACTTTTTAAGACCTTTTTAAGGCCACTTTGACCAAATTTAAGCTTTTTTTTAAAATTAAGTTTAAGCTATAATTTCCAGCTATTGCTTGGAACCGGTGCTAACCACGTCGCGAACGTGGGATTAGCCATCCAATTACCATAAAAGTTGCACTTCCCCATGGCGCAAGCTCCCACTAGCTTAACCAGCTAATGTGCTCATCTAAAAATAGCCCCCTTTCACGACCAACTGAATGTATACGGTTCCGCTTACGCCAACATCGTAGACAAAAAATGCTGAACACTAACTAGAAATTCATGAAAATTGAAATAAAATAATCTTGTTTGTTGGGTCTTTGGTAATTTAAGACCTTTGGAAACTGTATTTAAGGATTATTTGTCATTTTTTAAGGATTTTTAAGGCCTTAAATTTGGAAAAGCAAATTTAAGACTTTTTAAGGACCCACGGATACCCTGTCTAATGTAGCTCAAATCTTTCAGGACAGGGAACACTTGAAGAAGGTATCTGAAGGTGGACAGATGTGTTTTTTTTTACTTAAGGACCTCTAAATAAAAACAGCCTTCTTCCACAAACAATAAGCTGGGAACAGGCAGTAATCAGCAGACACCAGCAGCTGGGAGGGTAAATAACAGCAGTCATACCTTCTGTGTTTCAGATATTAAAGCATTGATGTTTCTGTACTCAACAACCTGAGCCAAGGCATTCATTTTCACCTTTCTAAGGGTTTTTGATCACTATGAGACCAAGTGTCAGGCCTGCACTTCCTCCATGCTAGCACCCACTGCGTGAAGATCCAATTAAACAGTCGGCAGAGAGCACCAGGACCAGTCAGGCACATCTCCTGGAGGATCTAACTGTCACCACTGAGCATCACGGTCTAGCCTGAGCCTCTCTGGCAGCCAGCATTTTACTAATTACAACGATGTTCTGTGCTAAGAAAGACAAGGAAAAGGTTAGAGGTGTAGAGGTGAATGCAAAGGCCGACGTGGTCAGCTGGGCTTTCAAAGACAGGCGCCATGTCTGTCCTTCACTTTAACTGGAATGGAAGAGCTTCTTGTTTTTAGATTAAGTTCAAGTCCTCCTCCTGCTCAGAGTGATTTAGATTATCCAAGCATGGCCAATCCCTCCGTCACACACCCCGTCCTCACAGACCACACAGAGGGAACGGGTCCCACACCTACCTTCAAACCCAAATTACCCACCACACATCGCTGTTAAAGTCAGGTCTCATTGAGCAAACTAAAACCTATGACCACATGATTATGGTTAGCCAAGCTAATATGTCAGCAAATGCCACGTGAGAGCCTTTTATGTAATTGAATGTGTGGTCTGTAAAAAGATGAAAGCCGGTGCAAAGCACCGCTAAGCAGATCAGGCCCAAAACCAAAGCTTGTGAAAGCTATCGGGGAAAGGCGCTCTCACTGCTTCTTTAAGTCTAACCGATCTGATGGAACGGATTGTGCTCCCACCTCAAACAAAAGGTAAATATCTACAAAGAGCTGTTTGGGACGCAAGGAGCTAAAACATAAAACCTTCAGCCAGAAGCAGCATGAAGAGCTCACTGACAACGTGACATCATTTCCTCTTCCTGTCCAAACAAACATCACCTGGTCAAAATTAATGAAGACCTACTTCCAGATGGTATCACAGAGAGAACACATCAGAATGTGAAGTGTTTCCCTGCAGACGATCATGTGCGACCAACAGAGCAGAGCCGGGAAATGTAAAACAAAGGAATTAGACGCCAAGCTGTCAGAACGATGAGCAGATTTCTGTCCAAGTGATAGCACTCAGTGAGGTCACAGCACAGGGGTCACCATGGATACGCAAAGACTACCGGAGAAACTCACTGACCAGTAGCGTCTTTAACTGAGAAGCCACAGAGTGAAGCTTTTAAAGGTCACAAAATAACAAAATTAAACATAGCAAGTTCGGAACAAGAACTTTCCTAATCCTAGAGAAATGTAGGGAGCATGGGCGTAATTTTTGGGGGGGACAGGGGGGACATGTCCCCCCCCCCCCCCCCCCCACTTTTTCCAAAGTCAAGTTTTGACCCCTGCACTTTTTACCACCCAAAAACAACATTACGCTATATTACATTGACACTGGTTGAGCTCTAGGACCAAGCGGAAAACAACCGTTTGTTTTGAAGTCTGTTTCCCATTAGAGCATACTGTAAAGATACCCCCCCACACACACACACACACACACACACACACTTCTAAAGTGAAAATTACGTCCATGGTAGGGAGAACAAATATTACATAAAACACATCAGGATAGGGAAGTGACGTACCAGATTAATCATCCTAAAAAATCCTGATAAAATGTGAACGGAGCTCTGGTGGGGCAAACCTGCTGTAAATACAAACTAGTCCTTTCACCTCCAATCAACATATTAGACTGAAATCTACATGTAAAAACAAGATTTTTAATTAATTAACCTGTATTTTAAGTTTTTTTTTTACCAACATCAATAAAATGTGGACAGTTAGGACATTATGAATAAAAATAGATGTACAATCTCCATACTCTGCTTGTCATATTCATTGTATAGAAGTTTTAGATTCCATCATATCCAGGACCACCTTTAGGATGTTAATACCTAGTAGGTTCGGGCTCTGTGGCATCTCCTTTGAATGTTGCGTTGAGCTGCTTCTCTCTGGTTAGCAGGTCATCAATAAGGTTCTGCCTCCTATCAGCTTCTGACTGCATTCTGATGGGAGCAAGTTGAGGTTAAATGGTTGATTTAATGGTGGAAGTTGAAGTTTCTGACAGGTTTCATTTTTCAGGTTCCATTTAACATAACTCTACTGCCATCTACAGGCCAATGAGTGTCTCCGCAATCATAAACAAGACTTCAGGCTTGCCTGTAAATCTCAGTCTCATGACTCTGGGAGTTGGTCACATTGTTGGGGAAAAGGATACATGCGTCGGGATGAGGAAATTCGCAACAAGCCTTCTCTGAGCTGGGAAATATTCTGCTTTAGTTTCTGGAGCGATGCCCGTAGCGTCATGTTAATCTGCAGAGTCAGATCACAGGATCAGTGCTGAACAAGCCTCCACCGGGTCTATTTAGGTGACACGCAGAATTACCTTGGCTGGGTTCCCCCCTGTTCTCTGCTGCCTGTTCCTTTCATGAATGTTTTCTGCAACTTCCTGTGCCAGGCGACAAGTGGCATCATAATTCTGCAACCTAGCAGGGTAGAAAAACGTCCAGAGCATAAATCACTTGCTGCCGTTTAACTCAACTCAGTCTTTGTTTATAAAGCACCTTACAGTCATGAGCATGCCACCAAGGTGCTGTACAACAAAAGAGTAAAACAATAAAACATACAACGCTACAGACATAATTAAAACCACAAATGAGAATTACAAAATATAAAACACTAACAATTGCTAACTCACAGAATTAAAAGCCAGATCATAAAAGTAGGTTTAAGGACATGATGGTTTCGTAGTGTTTAATAACACAACTCTACAGGGTTTGTGTTCATGAACCGAGTAAGTAAGCTAAGAATAGGTTAGCAACATTTACATATCTTGGATTAAAACAATGAAAAGTCCATTAAACTATAAACGTGGCCAAAGTTTGGGATTAAAACGTACACATTTTTGGTACACGGACTTACAAATTATCGTCATCTAAGTAATTTTAGATGTTTGACAATCTACATTTAAAGAGCTCCCAGCTTTTTTAATCTTTTTAATTTTACAGAAATTTGGGGCACTTAAAAGTGCCCAAACTACAGACATATGTGTTAACATGTTAGTTACCATGGTTACCTGTACCGATAGAAATAGCCACTTCCTTGACACTAACTCACATGACGAAAACAGGAAAGATTTTATCAACGAGAGCAGCTGACTGCACCGCTTTCCTCTCTAACAACATGCAGTTTAAAGTTGTTTTATATTTATGACATCACAGTTCCTGTATTACTCCATTTTTATGATTTGAATTGCGTAAAAAGACCTGTGTTAAGAATAAACCAACACACAGCCGTAATAGATTTATCCAGCGGCTAACGCCGATAAGGGACTAGCTAGCGCCTCCGCTGGTTTGTGACATAAATCAGATTCCAGGCGAAGAAACGGAACATGCAGTTCAAAACAAACCCGAGACGACTTGTTTTAGCGTCGGAAGGGTTTACCTACCAGGGGTCCTGAGACATTGTGACAAAAAAAAAAACTAATAACCCCAGCAGAGCAGAATTTAAATCACCAACAAACCGAACCCGGTAGCGTTCACTTGTTTTGGATGCGACGTCACTACGGAACGCGGCGAGGACCAATGTACTCCAGAAAGAAAATCAAAACCCACTAACTAACAAAAAGAAATAAATAAGCAAGTTACCAGTTGAATTAACTAAGAATAAATTATTAAATATACAAAAACACCATTAAATCAACCATTTAACCTCAACCTTCTCCCATCAGAATGCAGTCAGAAGCTACCAGGAGGCAGAATATCATGACCTGCTAACCAGAGAGAAGCAGCTCAACGTTTAACCCTCCCACTGTCTTCATGGGTGACCCCGCTAGGAAAGTTGACCACTGAGCAGGACTGATGGTTTATCCCTTGAGGTCCACGTGGCTGGGGTGAGGTGGTGCTCACTCCTCACCCCTGCCACATGGACCCAAGGGATAAACCATCAACCCTGCTCAATGGTCAACTTTCCTCGCGGGTCACACCCATTAGCACAGTGGAAGGGTTAAAGATGTCACAGGTATTAACGCAGGTATTAAAGGTGGTCCTGAATATGGTGCAGAGTTTCAACAAGAGTCCTAATTAAACATAAGCAACATTAGCATAAGTTAAATATGTTACTTGCCTGTTAATGTGTTTGGTTTACTACACTTCAACTTTCTTGTTCTCGAGCTCTTTCTTTTAGTATGTGTTTGTTTACTATGTGACAAAGAACCAGTGGAAGGGCAGCAGAACAAGTTCCTTTGGGGCAAAATGGTAAATTTTAGCTCCACTACATGGGGTGTATAAGATGAGTGCTTGTAGATGTTTTATGTTTCATAACCAAACACTAGTTCTGTTTGAATGAAAACACACACAGGTTGTGCAAAACAGCAGACATCTTCTTGGAACAGGCTTTCTTGACATTTTGGTGTAACACATATGAGGCAGTTTCAAAGAAAAGGTAACATTTGTAATCTGATTATTCCGTTCCTTCTGACCAGCTTGTTTTTACTTTGGATTCACTTCCAAATACAAATAAGGCGTGTCATAATAAACGTCTGAGAATCTCTGGGCAAAACAGGATCATGGTGCAAAAAACAGGAAAATAAAACATGTTTACCTAGATAATCCAATAATGCTGCTGCAAAAGCATTCAAAAAGCTCACTATGAAGAGCCAGGAAGAAGTCATCAGCATGTGACAGAAACTGCAGAAGATTTGAACAAAAGCCCAACTTTGAAAGCGGGCAACAAATCTTCAAGAGCTAAACAAGGAAAACAGCTTTCAGTGAAACAGAAAAAAAAACATTTTAAAAAGTTTCGAGAAACAGATCGTCCTCTGAGACCTGAGCTTTTCCCCTGGAGAGCGGTTAAGCTTTCAAAAATGGCCAGGTTTTGGCTTCATTCCAGATATTTTTGATGCCCTGATTCGTTGTTTTAGAGGCTCTAATGGATGATGGCACCCTTGTAGGGGCTTTCAACGTCTTCTCAGAAAGAATCTGTTGTGAAAGTGGAAAACAGAAACATCAGTGGAACTTTACCCTTTTCTGTACCTTAATTACCACAAACAAACCATCCCTCGCTCATGTGACCTCAGACTCATATAACACTCTGAAGTGGAGAGGGGAAACATTACTCTCCAGATGCCTTTCCCGCTAATAATACGACTTGAGATGATTCACGTTTCAAGGACGCCAGAGTTCTCCAACTGTGGAAATGTTCATTTAATTTCAAACGCAAAATCTGATCAGGATCTGGGCTCCGTGGCAACAGGCAGGAGACAAAGGTCCTGCTCCTACAACGACCCAGAGGACAGAAGGAGCTATGGTTTAGTCCAGCATGCAGGAGAAGCCACTCTGAGACCTCGCTCCAGGTAAGCATTTAATCACTTTCAAGGCTTTTCCCCCAACTTAACTGATTAAAGCCATCACCGACTGAGTATTCCATCCACTTTAGGTCGTTTTACAATTATGAGACGTCAGAGCTCTCCTCTGACTCTGACACGGGAAGCTTTTTAAGGTCCAGTCCTCTCAGGCAGAAGTCAAACTCACAACTAAAATCCTATTCATCTAAAAAGGAGGACAAAGATGGGAATCGATTGGCTGGTAAAATTACCGCCAAGGAGGGCAAACCCAGTAGACACTCACCATCGAGAGAGCTCAGCGGTAATCAAAGGATGTACAGTACAGATCAAAACTCAAGACACACGTTCTCATTCAATGTGTTTTCTTTATTTTTATGACCATTTACATTGTTAGATTCTCACTGAAGGCATCTAAACTATGAATGAAAACATGCAGGGTCATCTACTTAACCAAAAAAGGTGAAATAACTGAAAGCATGTTTTATATTCTATTTTCTTTAAATTAGCCACCCTTTGCACTGATTACTGCTTTGCACACTCTTGGTATTCTCTCGAGGAGCTTCAAGAGGTAGTCACCTGAAATGGTTTTCCAACCGTGTTGAAGGACTACCTCTTCTAAATTGATGCTTGGACATAAAAAAAAACCATATAAAACATGTTTTCAGTTATTTCACCTTTTTGGATTAAGTACATAACCCTGCATGTGTTCATAGTTTAGATGCCTTCAGTGAGAATCTACCAATGTAAATGGTCATGAAAATAAAGAAAACACATTGAATGAGAACGTGTGTCCAAAACTGTAAAATGTTACAGTCTACTTTATTAGCAATGTCAAAAATAACAAAACATGCAATAAGTGTGTGTGTGTGTGTGTGCGTGCGTGCGTGTGTGTGTGTGTGTGTGTGTGTGTGTGCGTGCGTGCGTGCGTGCGTGTGTGTGTGTGTGTGTGTGTGTGTGTGTGTGTGCGTGTGTGTGTGTGTGTGTGTGTGTGTGTGTGTGTGTACGGGTGTTCCTCAGGCAATAAATGCCACGTCAAGTCCATGATGACCATCTCCGAGTCGGACAACTAGAAGATCTGCTCCAGCTCTGGGATGAAGTACAGACAGTTCGTGGACTGGGAGAAGATTGATCCCAAAGCTGCAGAAAAGTACGAGCTGATCCTGACGAGCGAGCACCAGCAGCTGAAGACCATGGGGCGAGAGGGACTCTGGGCCATGCCTCACACACTCAGAGCCAAATCGTACTAACACATCATCCATAACATCTACTCCAGGTTAACACCTGTACCGTCACTGTTAGGAATCATTTTTCACCACATAGCGATGATGGGGGACCATTGATATTGTCCTGCGGGATGATGTGGGTGAGGGGGTGGAGGATCTGAGTTTGGAGTACCCGGACGTTCCCTGGAGGTGGGTTCACTGGGGGTGTCTGGGACTGGGGGGCTGTTTCCCCCCTCTGGAGGTGCTTTGGTTGCCTCGGGGGGTGGACTACTGGCGGTTGTGAGTGGGGCCCCTTGGAGGTCTTGGCGGTTGCCATGGGTCACTGCCCGGCAGCTGCATTGCCCCTGGGCGGGTCTGGGTGGGGGCCTGGGGTCTCAGGGTGTGGGGGTGGCCGGCCCCGTGGGGGGATCTGGGCGGGGCCTTGGGGGTCAAGTCCTGACATGTATGCTGCCGGGGAGAAGGCAGGAACATGCGGCAGTGCCTGGCTCGGGTTCAGGGGCCTCAGGTAGACCTTGGCTCCTCTGCTGTCCCATCACAGGGGAGGGGGAAGTCCAGGAGGGGGAGGACCCAACCTTACCTGGAAGTCCTATGTCTTATATAATCTGGAAGTTGTGCAAATGCAGGGATGGGCGTAGATATTCTGCTGGGGTGGGGCTGGGTTGGTGCCCTCAGACTCAGTGAGGCTCTGTGATGCTGCTGCTTTGGGCCCTGGCAGGATGGGCTGGGGTCTCCATGCCCTGGGTGGCATTTTGACAACAGAGGTGCCTATTGGGTCCAGTGGGGGAGCTGGCTCCCTGGAGGGCTAAGCCCAACCAGCCATTCCTCCCCATCCCTGCGTATTTTCCTCCTCCTGCTCCCTCACATCATCACACAAACATACACATAGGAACTTGGGGGGTGGACAAGTCAGGGAGTGCGGTTATGGACCCCATTTCCGCATTCCTGTGGCAACTTGCCCCCCAATTTTATTTGCACCTTATACACTTCCACCAATGACATTCCATGCAAACACACACTTAGGGCCTTGGGAGTGAGCACATTCAACGACATTTGGCAAGGGGATCTTCCAGCCTTCTCCCGAGTGCCGGTGCCCACTTCCAATTTTAAACCGCACTTAGACACTGAGGGCTGTGGGTGCAAGTGGGGTGGTGTGGTGGCATCAGCGGGCATAGGCCAGACAATACCCGCACTGCCCGCTCACCACAGCCCTGGAATACACCTCATCAACACTCACTAATACCATATTGGAGCAGGCGGAGGGAGACTAGGGGTCTTAGCACACCTCTGTTGTCGCTTGGCTTCCTGGGGCTGGAGACTAGGAGGGAGATCTGGCCGTCTGGTTGGGGTCTGGGGTGGTAGGTTGCTGTGCTCAGCGTTGGGCGGGGGAGCCTGCTCATCAGCACCCCAGCAGAAAGGGTCGAACTCTGGGAACCGGTGATGGTTGTACCCAGTGTGCAGCAGTACCGGGACCAGAGTGAATAGGGTGTGTATGGGGAGCATGAGTGGGTGTCCGGTGTGCATTTTTGTAAGTCTTTGGTTGTATGTTTATGTGTGAGCATGAGGGAGGGAGTGTGTGACTATGTTTGTGTATGACTGTATATGTCAGGTGGGGCCTTTGACTTCTCTCTTCTCCTGGGACTTCTTTTGATGATATAGATCTTCGTCTCCCCTCCCCCTGCCACACCTGGTGTGGGGTGTGGTGCCTTGGTCTGCCTTACTGTTTGTGGCTCCCGGGTCAGGGGGTTTAAGATTTTTGGCGCCTGCCTGGTCAATCCCGGTGGCTGCCTGGTGAGGTCTGGGTCCCTGGGCTCTGCTGGGTCCCCGGCGGGGGTGGTCGCCCCTGGGTCCCTGGTTGCTGGGTCCCGGGCTCGGCCGGCTAGAGGGTGGGAGGCTGCGGGCGGGCCTGTGAGTTTGCCGCCGGTATCTCCCGGGTCGGCTGCTGGTTGTGGCCCCCCGGGGCGGTCCTCTGCACCTCTCGAGGGGGGCGGGGGCTTTTCTGGTCGCAGTCTCCCTGGAGTTCCTGTGCTCTGGGGCA